CCCCGCGCAAGCTCATATACAGTTCAGTTCGTTTAGCGTCTGGTCCAGTGTCTGGTGCAGCCCCAAGTTCTCCTCTTTGGCTTGAGCAAGTTTTTCTAGTGAGAAAGAAGAAAAAAGCACGAGTTAAACCCGACGTTATCTTACGGCCTTTCCTCTTGAAATAAAACCCACGCTGACTCACCTTCGCGTTCAGGACAACGCCGTAACTGCGTCCTGACAATGGGGCCATTTTTTTGGCAATTGCTCTCATTTAGCGCGGTTTTTGGACTCGTTTTATGCGGGATGTGGCGGACTTGCGTTTTAACACGTGATTTACAGGACACGTCCCTCCGCGTTTGCCTTCTCCCGACAGTTTTTAGCCGGGCAGACGGAGCCCCCAAGTACCGAACGCGCCCACGGCTTTTCGCTGCCCTGCGCGCCCTTGGGAACGCTGACGTTGGGGTGTTTGCCAGCGCGCCGGGGCCTGCCCTGGCCGAGGGGGGCCCCTGCGCTGCCTGCGTCTGCCTGTCCCCGGCGTGAGGAGCTGAGCTTACTTTCGGTGTCGTTACTGGTGTATTTTAGGTGAAGCATAAGGAAATGAACCCCAAGAGCTGGAAGGTAGAGGTATCTTGTTTTTATTGAGCTCAGTTCTTACAGAGGAGCTTGAAGGATCGCTTGTGGAAGTGGCACAGAAGCGACAGGCACGGCAGGCAGGAAAAGCTAAAGCAGCGCAGCGCGGCAGCGCGGCCCCGCGCCCCCGGAGCCCGTCACAAGGAGGTCATGTCATTGAGAGCATGGTCAAGCTCCTCGCTGATGGCTTTGTACTTCAGCTTCTGAGCGTACAGCTCGTCTAGCGGGCACGAGGGCAGGAGGCGGGATTCAGCAAGAAACGCAGAAAAACAGTCCAGAGGAAGAGGCGCAGAGTGGGAGACGCGAAGGCAGTCAGAGGGCAGCAGCCAGAGCGGTTGAGGAAGACAAAAGAAGAAAACAGATGCGTAACTGAGAACCGGTAAGAAAGCAAAAAATCCACACAGCTGCCAGGTCAGAAGCTTCATCTACATCTCCTTTTTTTTAATCTCTCTAAATGATTTTTCAATCGGATGAAGCAGGGTTGTGAGCTTGTTATTAACGGAAAAAGCCCCTGAGCCCACGTATCTGCGAGCTGGCCAAAATCCGGGTATTGCTACCCGCTTTTGAAAGAGAGCCTCTTTCAGGAAGCCTTCCTGCGGGCAGGAGGTGCCGGCGGGACAGGCGCCTCCGTGGGCGCATCCCGCCGCTCCGCCAGCACGCCTGACCCGCGCTTCTGTCCCTTCCTGAGAAAATCTAATACCCACTCCGAGAATTTTGTTTTCTGATCTGAAATTGACCACTTCTGAATGAAACCCGAGCGATTTCCTACCTTCCAGGTCATCAATAGACTTTTCCAGTTTGGCAACTGTTCTCTCCGCAAATTCAGCACGAGTTTCAGCCTAAAAAAAATTAAATAGAGTAAGTTAGTATGCTGCTAAGAAATGCTGCTAAGAAATGCTGCCAAAATACAGGTTGGGGATGGATGAACTTACTTCTTTCAGCTTGTCAGAGAGAATCTTGATTTCTTCTTCGTATTTATCTTCTTTTTCCGAGTACTGTGAAAACAATAAACACTCTTTAAGGGAAGTTGTAGCAATGGTAATAAATGTTTATGAAACGGTGACCTATTTATAACCACTTTTCCTTTTGCAGCAGCTGCACACACCCTCTCCGTGCTTTCCCCTCTTCACCAAGACGCTCAGCCCCGGGCTCATAAACCACCATTTTAAGGCTGGGGGTGTCCACGCTCCTTCGTGCGTCATCTCGCACCCTAACGGGCTGCCCTGCTTGTGCAGCACAGAAGAGCTCAGTGTGCAAGAGAAGACGAAGCCTTCCGTGCCAATTTAGACCAGCCAGAAACAACCGGTTACGGAAATCAAAGAGTTTTAACAATTTTCATTATTGAGGGCAGAACCCTCAAAAAGAGCAAGAGCAGAAACCCAGGAGCCATCAGCAGCGCGCTGGGGTGGGAATGGAGCTTTAGGTCGGGCTTTGGTAACGATCGGCTTCCTGACTCGGGTCTGGGCAGAACGGCTCAGCGGTATCGACGGACAGTCGCTGTTGGACAGGCAGTCCGCTGAAGCCCTCCACTTCCCTGGTATTTCTGGATTATTTCTATGGATTTGATTTACAAGTTCCGACTTCGCCCCTATCCCTTAGGTGACGGAAAGAACCAACCTTTTCAGATTGAGCTTCCAAAGACTTCAGGTTGTTGGTGACGTTCTTTAACTCCTCTTCAAGGTCACTACATTTACTACAGGGAAAAAAAAAAAAGTATAAATTATTACTGTCCCTGTTATGACTTAATTTTTAAGAAGTCTAAAAATAGAAGGGATGAAGTAATTATTAAGTCTGAAAGGAGAAAATTGGGTATATAGGGTAAAAAAAAGCTTTTCTACTTATACTACATGCCTGCCTAGCAGTCGATTTTTGTAATGAAACACGGCTTTGAGCTCTACTATATTCTAAACTGCTTCCGTGTATCCGAAGTTACTCACACTTCGGACACCTCTGCACGCTCTTCAGCTCTTTCCAGTTCACCCTCCAAAATAACCAGTTTCCGGGCAACCTGCGAAGAGAAAACAGCCGTATCAAGCCAGTCTGTGATTTCTGACACGTTTCTCTCAAAACACTATGCTCGTGCTTTCCTTCTGAATGACGGAATTAGGATAAAACATACATGCACAGACGTGACGGGCTTTTTCCCCAAATAAATTAGATTTTGCAGTGTTCTTAGCATTAAGTATCTAAGGTGCCGCTCAAGTCACTATTACAATTACTCCTTTCTGGGAACATTCCAAAGTCGAAGCGTCACCCAGTGAAGAGCATACAACGAATGACCAAACGGGAAAGTAACAAAGCTGCTCGCGGTTCTCCCGTGCGTTTAATCACTTCCTTAGCCCTTTTACCTCCTCGTATTTGCGGTCAGCTTCTTCAGCAATGTGCTTCGCCTCCTTCAGTTGCATTTCCTGAATTTCCATTTTCTCTTCATCTTTCATTGCTCTGTTCTCAATAACCTTCATTCCTCTGCAGAAATCAAAGCAAGCGTGGTTAACGCGGAAGCATTTTAGCACTTTTATCTCAAAGGTCCTACAGCGGAGCTCGGTGGCCCATTATGACCGTACCAGCGTGTTTTTCAAGGCCCTAACAGAATTGCTCAGTCAGGCTTTTTAAGTTCCAAGTCTCTGACCTGCAATCCACATTAGCACACGCAGATACTAAATTATACAGGAATATTTTATTTGGATATATTCAATTTTTTACAAAGTAAGAAAGAAAAAGAAGAGGAAACGTACCTCTCACTCTCATCGGCTGCTTTCTCAGCCTCCTCCAGTTTCTGCAAGGCTGTGGCCAGCCGTTCTTGGGCACGATCCAACTCCTCTTCCACGAGCTGGATGCGTCTGTTCAGAGCTGCCACCTCACCTTCAGCCTGTGTGAAATACAGCCCCCCCAGCCGAGGTTACGCACAAGCCGCTTGCTGGCTGACAGATGTTCTCAACTAATCGGTTTCCATAAACCTGCAAAGGCTTCTCCTTGGTGCAGGTGGGGAAGCTCTAGGGACCTTTCCGTCTCTGCTTTTTGTTTGTTTAAACTATGGCATTTCAGGAATTTCAAGGTATGGAGTATGTGCTTCTCCTTTCTTTTTTAATGGTACTTATCATTCCTCCCATACAACGAAGGATTAGACACCGATTGCCAACGGAGAACTGTGTTCAGATCGCTTCACAGGGCAGGATCTACCCGTAGGATTCAAAAGTTAAAAACCGAACTGTTTCCCTAACGGCTTGTTCCAAAAACTTCAGTTGATTTTTATGTTCTTGGTTTCATCACAGACTGCAGCGATACCCTGTCCTAGCCCACTGCCGAAGCTAAAGCCGTTTCGTTCTCCATTACGGGCTCCTTTGCCTGCAAATGCTATATAATCTCTGCGCGGTCAGCTGGGCAGACACAGCTGGCCCCAGCACGGGAGAGCCCGTCGTCTTTGTAACATAAATTGGGCAAAATTAGATATGGTCTTAAAAGAAGTTCACTTTCCTTTTTCATTGCTTCCTGTGGTACTTAAGGAATTAGGCAGAAAGCATTTCTTAATAATAAGGCCTGTTTATATATTATTGAATAAACTGCACAGTAATTGGAAACACTATTAATGTTTAAAAACCAGACTAGATAATAAATGGAGAGGTTGTTGGGAGAAACGCTCGCATACAGCCAATATGAACAACTTGGTGTCCAGAAATACATTGTGTTTATTAAGATATGGCTCCTTGAATTGCTTATTTGAAGGAAAATAAACCCCTACTCTAATCAGTTTTGCGCACTTAATTGTCCCCAAATCTGAGCAAGATTGCTACGTATAAGATTAACTTTTTAAAAAACAAAACAAAACCACTTTTATGGGCTACAGATCCTGGAAGGGCAATTGGTTTATGCTTTATGTTAAACACTTTGAAAAAATATTTGTTTTGCTGCAGCTTCTCAAATTTGGTTACTGACCGCTCCTCCTAAGCTGGAGGAAGCGGTTTCCATTCAGAGCTGTACCATCTTGGAAAGGATTTTGGTGACCGATCCAAATGGAAGCTGACCCAGGATTCCTCTAGGCATAAATTATCCAGCATTTCATTTGTTTTTTACCCAGTGCTGTGTGTTTAACTTCTCGATTTACACACAAGGCATCAATCGTGTAGAAAACTGGCATCTCTTATGTGGCAGCCTGCAACTCCTTCCACTAGACGGGACACTTTTAAGTCATATTTTAATTAAGCAAGATTCCAAAGCTATGGAGACGGGGCCACTGGGAAGCTGGAGTTAGTCTGGCTCCACCTCTCCCAGAAGCAGCCCGCAGTCCTTATACGGTAAAACTAACTCGCTGACATGTGATAAAATAGCAGGAAGATGCCGGGAAGGCTGATCACACACAAATCTAAGTGAAACCAGCTGTCCAGCCCCGGGAGAGCCGCACACTAGTGGAGAGTTCTGATTTCTCTGTGAAAACCAGGAGGGAAAGTTATTTTCCAGCAGTTCGGACATTTCCCAGCTGTGCCGGAGCCAGCGGTGCGGCGCCGAGAGGCGGGAACTCCCCGCTCGTTGTCATGCAGCGCTTTTTCCTAATTAACCGGCCATTTCCTACTAAACTCGTAAGCGCTTCCCGATGCCGAGCGGTGCTCGCGACGCCTTTGCCGAGGGGAACGGCCCCAAAGCGCGATAAGCAGCGGGCGCCTGGGAGGAGGCGGCGCCGCCGCCGCCGGTGCCCCCGCAGGACGGTGCGGGCGAGGCGCTGCGGCAGCGCCGGCGGCTCCGCAGGGAGTGCGGAGCGGAGCAGCGGGGGGACAGCTGAGGAATGAAGGCAGCCGGCGGCCGGGCCGTCCTCCAGAGCCAGAGACAGGAAGGAAGGAGCAGGGCAGCCCGGGAGAGAGCGACCGAGAGAGGCGAGCAGGCAGCCCGGGCGGTCTCACTTTCTCCCGCAGGTCCCGTTCCAGGTCCAGCTCCCGCTGGAGGACCTGGGCGCGATCCTCCGCCTCATCCGCCTGTTGCTGCAGGCACTGGATCTTCCTCTTCACCGCTTCCAGGGAGCTCGGCGCGGCCATGGGCGCGGCGCAGGCGGCGGGCAGGGCGCGGGGGTGCTGCACGTGGCGGCGCGCGGCCCCGCGCCTTTCAATGGGCCGATGACGTCACGCGGCTGGAGGTGGAGGTGGGGGTGGTGACGTAGCAGAGAGGAGTCGGCGCGAGCAGCGCCGGGACGGTGGCGCCCCGGGGCCGCCCCGCCCGTTTC